ATGAAGTAAACTGTGGCAGTATACTTCCATCATAAGTCAGTTATCAGCACCAGGTCCAAACATGATCCAAAATCAAATGAAAGAAAATCATACAAGCCTGAGACCAGTGTTGTACCTGAAATACACACATACACACAAATATGTAGATAAATAAATACATTAAATACATTAAATAAACCAGAAGTAAAAAGAAAGGACATTGGTACTTACCATGCTGTTCTGCTGGTGAGGTGTCTTCCCATCGGCGAGTGTCCACACACTGAGGAGCACAAGCACATCTCATCTTAAATGCTTTGTCTTTAATCGCTTTTCATTAGAGGCTTCTATACGTTTGATATCCTACAGGGGCTTTAATGTCTCTAATGTGGGACATCAATGCCACTCATAGACAAGACACGTGAGCAGACGTAATATGCCACGTGACTCTCCGTGTGTACATTTGAATATTGCGTTCAGAATACGGTGTATTAGATGAAATACATAAATATCTTTGTCTAAAAACGAATTATTTCGTTATTATTATTATTCATAAAGTGTGTCAATCAAAACATGCACCAGTCCACACCAGTCACGCTGAGGAGCTGGCTCCCTCTCCTCCCGCTCCGTCTCCTCCTCGGCTCAGATTGAAGGAGCACAGAGGCTGACGGCTTTGATACAAAGCACAGGGTTGCCATGGTAATGGCTTGCAGGTATGCAACGCGCTGATTGGCTGATAGTTACAAGGCTCGCGACATTCGGACTTCATGTTTGTGGCGTAACTTCACGCAGGAAATCTGAGCGTCTGTATTTCAGACGTAACGAAAACTATGAATACTATTTTTTACTGTTTACACGCATTTCTACAGCTACAATACTTTTTTTTGCACATGTTTAAATTATTCATAATACTACAAAACGTTTGTATGCTACAAACACCTATAAAACCTCTTTAACACATGTATATTTTTATTCACATGTACAAACTATTTCTACAGTCACAAACCTTTTTTTAACTATTTATGCATCTACAAATTACAACTGCAAAAGTTTTAAACACTAAAATGAGGTAATATACAACTATCACATTATTTCACAAGCAGAAGATTTTACTGACATTAATCCGAAACACGTTTGAAACAGTGTAATTCTGACTGAATGTGTGGCGTCATGTGATTTGGGGAATACTTTTTTTTCCTGAAGTTCTATAACAATCATATTTGTGGATGGAAAACATCCTGTGAGTCACTTCAGAGGATACAGAATCATGACGTTAGTGATTCTCCTCCCTTCAATTCTCAGCTAGGGCCAACCAGTCAGCATTCAGTAAAACAAAATCATGGAGGCTACAATACATACTGAACTACAGCTCCATCTGCTGGAGGCTTTGTGTAGTCCAAGTTTCAACGTCGTGCCCTGGCCTACTCTTATTTGATTATATTATTAAAATGGTTTGATGTCAGCACATTCCTCTGCACTTCACTTATGTACTCTTGTGTGATATTGACTAAAACGACAGCAACTTTCTTCTGTTTTTTATTATTCTTCCGTTTGTATTTTGTTCATTCTCAAGGTTGAACAATTTGAATGTATTCAGCACAAAGGCGTCCCACACACAGTTTAGAAAGTATGTATTTAGAGCATGTGTTGCCACGTATGCTTCAAACTGGAGGTGGAACAGTTGCTTTTGATCAAAGTGCCTCAGGTGTATGTTGAGACCAGTGCTTCATTTTGGTAGGAAAGAGTGTGAAGTCTGGGAAACATGTTGATGCAGCTGCAGTCTTTTTTGCAAGAAATAAATATAAGGAAATGAAAAGTGATGTGGAATACAAACCTAATTATCCACAGGCTAATTTAAGGTTTTAGATTAAATATAATATGGAAATCCAGTGTATACCATACCATATTTTAGTCAAGGCCACTGCAGTCAAAATGAATATGATTTCAATACTTTTGGATTTGTATTTGGTAGTATAGCTTTGTTCTGGAAACAAAAGTATGTATGAAGCCTCAGGTAGGGAGAACAGACCTCCCTGACCTTGGGCCTTCATGGAACATGAGGAAGGGAGAGCAGCAGCTGAGAGACCCCAGCACAGATCAGCTGAAGTGCTGGATTGTAGGGGAGTTTGCCTTCGTGACCTGCCTGAAGTATCGCTACGCTCACTTCTTTGAAACTCGTCCTGTTTACCACATGTTGCAGGTAAGAAAGCCATGGGACACGTAGGCTGTGTAAGAAATGTACCACCTTTATTATCCAATCCATATTTCCCCATTCAGAACGCAATACAAAGCCAAAGCCATTTATATAAACAGAGAGTCCAAGCTCCAAAAATATTAAACAATAACTGTCAGTTTAAGACAAAAAAGAGAAAAAGATTTTGTCTCAGTATTAAAAACATTTTGCACTCAACACACAGTAGCATATCATCAGCAAAGAGGGAAGCTTTGTGTACATCAATCATGACAGAAGACTGTATTTAAAAAAACAACACTCCAGTCACACATGAAATATCAGTATCATACGTACACCTCACGTTAAGTCTCATTCATGTAGTTTTCACTTGTTGCATATAAAACATTGCATCAAACGTATGGCTCGCTCAATCACGCTCACACACAAACACAGACACACACAGACATATATATTACTAAATACAAGAGGATGAAAAATAAACAAGACTTATTTGAATGTTAGATACCTGACATGTTAATTTAATAATGATGCATTAATCAGGAGGGAGTGTGTGAGGTACAGTGGAGGGTATATGTGGCTTATGAAATTAAATGAATACAGGTGTCACAGGTTTAATGCTAAGAGTTGTTAGCTTCACAGGTGATGATAATGTGGGGAAAGTGAAAGTTGAAGAAGTCTGTCCAGTTGTTTCTCTGGAAAAGTTGATTTGACAAGAATTTAACGAAAAACAAAACTGATGGGAGATACTTATTATATGTATCCTCAAATACAAACGTGTTCTAACCTTCATCAACATTAGAGAACGTGAACCATAGCATTAATAGAGTACAACGTAAAACCATCACAGGTGACGAGATTGTCCGACCATGTGAACGAGGTTAGTTTTATCAGGTTAGGAGCAGCTACAAGTGGATGAACCGAGGGACAATCAGGAATGTGTGTGGTGTCCTGTTAGTAAAATGAGCTGGGCTATCAGAAATACAGTAAGAGTTTCTTATGATGAGTGACAATGACACACAGCTGCCTGAAGGCTCAAGACTTGAGAGTCAGTCCTCCTAATTCAAAAATCCAATTGAAGGCAAATTTTGTGTAGATTATTTCAAACTATCAGCTTTTAGGTTATGAAATTTGTGGTTTGATTTATCTGAGACAATTATTAGAGTTTTGTACAAGGGCGATGTACACTTAGATGTCGCTTTGGACATGTCACAATATCAAAAGTCATATAAAAATAAAAACCTGGTCAATTATGTCTTTCCAGAGCTGAATTACAAAGAGTTTTTAAAAACAGGTTCACATGAGAACACATTGATTTAGGATTTAATCATTTTTGGGCCTTTCTTCAGGGGATTTATTTTCTCTTCAGTAAAAAAAGCCAGAAAAGTAATTTAGAACAAGGCATAAACACACAACTATCATTCAGAGCACTGTCACAGAACAATTAAATAAAATATTTGTTTGGTTGATTGGATTTTGTGATTTATCATCACAGCGTTTTCAATCAGAAGAAGCAAACGTTGACAAACAGGATCTTTGACTGTGTAAAGTGGATCTATTTATTTTATACAACAGCTGGGTATAAAAAGAGAAAACACCCAAATGCTTTTACCATTTCATCAAACCGATCAATCCCTTATCTGCTCCAACATTTAGCCCCTCAATGCAACAGAAACGTCCACTTAACATTGATTAGTATCATATCCTGTCATTGACTTTCATTCTTTGTAAATCAAGCGAAAACATAGAATCAACTTCACTTGTGGTTTCTAGAAATGAGTCATTGTGATATAAACGAGAACCTGTTTGAGACACAATTTTGACTAAAATCTGTGCGCTACACTTTTTCCATTGTCACATAAATGATTGAAAAGATTTAAGTAAGGAGATTTCCATGCTGCCTTGTTGATTTATTTCCAAGTGCTGCTTTGCAAAGCTCAGTTCTAGTATAAGGCTGATAGGTATCCATCATCTGTGCTTTGACAGCTGTTAACAGTAGAGGCAATTCATGTGATGCTTTCATTTTTTTTTTTTTTTGCAAAGTACAAGGTACGTGTTCTGCAGGTTTCAATAACTTGGAGGGAATGACTATGCAAATACACACAAGTATTAACATCGAGTCTTTTTAAATAATGTAAACATATACATCTTATTTGAGGTCAGAGCATCGATCCTCTTCATATCTATCTATATTTTTTAAAAAGAGCAAATATTACTGGAGCATCGTCCGGATGTTCTTCGGCGTGGACTCGTCATTCAGGTGTTTTGTGGTGAATCTGAATGGACACAATAAAAAAAGAATTTATTAGTATGTCACTAGCATGCTCTGTACGGCAGCTTACCCAGAGGGAATGAAACCTACTTGAGGGCATTGAGGAGGCCTTCTACGTTGTCTGCTGGCTGGTCCTTCAGGACCTTTATGCAGCCTTTCATCTGAGAGGACATGAACAGATTTAGAATGAGAGCACAAAAAATCAAGAGCTGCAGCAAAATATACATCTGTGGTCTGCTGTTACATTATTTGTACAACTTAAACCAGATGAGTGTTTCCCAGACTACTTGACTATCAAGACATCAACATCATTGTAGACTAGCAGTTCATCTGTGGTTGGAGTGCACGGTGCAGTAGTAGTGTGTCTACTGCAGATGTGCAGCAGGGGGTGCTGTTGTTGGTGGAAATAGCTGATTAGTCACAAGCCTTGTCATCAGTGAGATGCAGTCCTCTTCTCTGTTTCATACAGTGTTTCAGATATTGATCTATTTGTGACTGCCAGCCACAGTATTGACACTAATATTGATTATGCTATATTTTACTTTTTAAAGTAAAGACTACTTTTAGGGAATGGTTGACAACTTCTAAAATGTGAAAGTCCTGGTGTTGGTGTCTTACGTCTATCTTGGAGGACTTGTTGAAGGCACCGTTGGGGTGGACATGGTCGTAAAGAATGATGACCCCGACCATGACCCTCATGCAAAACAAGAGCGTGTCCTCGCTGCTGAAGCGACTCGAATATTCTCTAGAAACACCGAAAGAGAGAGAAACACACAGGATCAGAAAAGATGGAGATTACATGGTGAGGAGACTGAACTGAGAGACAATGATTTCTTTGAAATAATCTACACAGGCAATTCATTATTTACTGGAATGCACTTTGATGAAGACATATGCGCATACTGTACACTGAGCTTTGTCTTTGAATGCCACTACTACTACTGCTACTTGTTCACACAACAATTTGTGTGTGTGTGTCTGTGTGTGTCAAAGCATTGTAACTCACGGTGTCTCCAGCATGACTTTACAGACACTGGCCATGGTGCTGAGACAGTCTGTCGTATTTTCCAGTGGAAGCGTCTTGTTCTACAGAAAACACACAGTGGGCACATTATTACACAACCTTATAAAACTATACAAGTTTTTTAAAGTCTTCATCCTCTGAAAGTGTGAATCAGGGTGAATGTGAGTAAAATAATTGTTTTCAGTCAGATCAGGTGTCACCAAGATTTCTCTATGCTCTATATATTACTTTTCTTTATATATGAAATTTGCGACAGGCTGATATACATGCAACTGAATTCTAAGTGTGACATCTTTGCAGTAACAATGATAACTGATGGAGTTCTCACCTCTGTCACAAAGTTTGTGGTTGCGTTGCTGAGTGTTTTCAGCATGGGTGTGGCCTCAGCGTAAAACAGAGACATCCTGTTGGCCATCTCGTTGTTCACTTCATTCTCAATGTCCAACTTCAGGTGCAGAAACAAAGAACAAAGATGAAGTGTTGGTTTTTAATCCAGACTTGTTTTTCATCTACTGAGAAGAGACAGCATCCCTACACTGCTGGAAAAGTAGTAGTATTATCTTTATCTTTTTTTTTTAAACAATAACTTTCTAACAGTGGCAACAACAATGTGGTGAGTTTGGTCTATTTCTGGATTTTGTAAAAGACACATGAAAACACAATTAACAGTTACATTATGTCATGAGGGAGCACTGCATATATAATGTCAAACCCTGCTGTTACACAAGTATAAATATGTGAAGTTAAAATCCCCAGGAAAAAGACGGCAGTCACCACAGAACAAGAGAATGCAGATCTGAGCTATGAATAATTTCTCGACAACTCACATTCATGTTGTTTATTCTGTTTCGACTGATTGTTCTTCTGTAGTAGCTGAAGTCGTTCTGGATGGCAGGAATTCTCATCTGAAGGAAAACAATACGACATTTAGCCCAAAACTGTGAAACGTATTGTTTCATACAAGTGTGCTGAACGTGTTCTGTGACCAAGACTGTGGCCCTGTTCAGACCTGGTATCAACTCCTGAGATCCAATTACAGTTCAGACCTGATATTGAAATGTGTTCTGAATGAGTCTCCTGTTAACACTTGTGATCAGATCTCACTTTCCCACACTATATGCAAATAAAAATTATTTGTTTAAACTTCATGATCAAAAACCATGACGATGTTCTTTTTAGCCAGTCTGAGTTTACAAGACAATAGATATGTTGAAGTATTTATTAATAGTGTGAGAAGGGAGAAAACAGAGCCAGGAGGGACTGTGCAAAACAGCAGCAGCAGCAACAACATAGAGCTGAAGTAACATTTGAATAACTATGGGGGAAAGAGTGAAAGTCTTTAAGTTAAAATTTTGTGGAGGTGGCCACAGATAAATCGATATACCTGAAAACTTTTGTGATTCATTATGCAACTTAAGCAGGTCAGAGGATGTCAGCTGAGGGGGCGTTCCATAATTTTGCATGGGACACATTTACGTTCCCACATTGAAAAGAATGTGGCCGCGTGCATCACAAACCACCTCTAAACGTGGTCTAAGTTATCGGATCTCAAATGTGTATTTTATACATCTTGGGCGTGTTCACTCCTGAACTGTGAGCTGTGAACAGATCACTCAGGGAGGATGTTGATTCTTGGTCTGAAAGATATGTGTGTGTGTGTGTGTGTGTGTGTGTGTGTGTGTGTG